GCCATCAACTTTAGGCAAATATGACAACACATAGTCAAACTTAGCCAAAACATTAAATGAACTCAATGCCTTCAGAAAGGCGTTGTATAATAGATTTGATTTCTGTTTGGCATAAAGTGTTGGTTTGTTTAAACATTTTGTTTGGTAAGAATTTTATTTACTTCATATTTTCTAATTTTTTTGCAATTTAATTGGCAATTTTGAAAAAAAAAAAGGGTATTCGATCAGAAGACTCGATAAAAATAGCAATCAAGCAAGTATTGGAAAACAAAATGACTATTAGATAACCTTCTTTTTATTTTTCTGTCCCAAAGAGCATGCTGGCAGACAAAATCAAATATCTAAGAGGAGGTGGGGACATGGATATGAACACACTTATGGGTGATTTTAAGAAGACATTGTCTGAAGAGCTAGAAACTAAATTAGTCGAGCATTTATTAGATTTAGACAACAAGATGATGCCTATGAACAAAAAAGAGTTTTTAAGATTTGCTTTTGAGTTAGCTGAGCACTTAAAACTTCAACACCAATTTAATAAAGAAAAAATTTTGCAGGAGACAAGTTTTATTCTAAATTTTTGAGTTGCCATCCCCAACTTTCGTTGCGAAAATCACAGTCAATAAATTTCAAAGAGCTGTCTCTCGGTTTCAACAAACCACAAGTGGATCTTTTCTTCAACAAATATGTAACACTGCTACCTAAATTTCTTCACTCCCTCAAAGCTCTTTAGCTGCGATGACAAGGGAGTTTCTGTGGTCTATGATATTGCCTCCACGATTTTGTCACAGAAAGGAAAAAAAGCAGGTTTGTAAAATTACATCGGTAAAAAGAGGCAGAAATGTAACTGTGCTACTATCTATTAAAGTGACAGGTCATGTGTTTTTACCTCCATTATTTGTATTTGGTAGGGTTAAATGCAAAAATGTTAAATAAGAATACTCCAGATAGGAGTATTTTTGCTTGTGAACAAAGTGGGTGGATCACTGCCAATTCATTTTTGCTTTGTTTAAAAATGTTTATTGCTGGAGTGAATTACACTAAGGAAAGTCTGCTCTTTTACTACTTGATGACGATAGTTCTCAAAAGGAACTACAAATAAATATATATGCGAGAGACCACAATGTTTACATAATAAGTCTATCCCCTCGCACCACCCACAAACTTCAGACTCTTAATCGAGCAATAATGTAAAACAAGTTTTTATAAAAAATGGAGGTTCGTACTTTAGCATACCAGTATGCAATTGCAAATAATAAGTATCATCCTCCTTCTTGGGACCAAAAAAAGATAGCTGGCAAGTAATGGAATATCCTTCAATAAAACAAATATATTTTCGTTTTTTAAGAACTACAAAGAAGCCTTGTCTCGTGGAGATTTTGCCCAAAAAAATTTGGAATTGTGACAAGACAGGGTTAACGACTGTCCATGTACCATCAAAAATTGTGAGAACTAAGGAAATAAAACAATTAGGTCAAATGACAAGTGGAGAACGAGGTCAAAATGTAACCTTGATACCCTCAATAAATGCAATCGGAAATCATATTTCGCCAATTATGATATTTCCGAGGGTTAATTTTAAGCCTCATATGCTAAAAGGTTATCCGGTTGGAACTAAGCAACCAAGCAAGTTGGAGGTGCAAATCCGTCCGGCTGGTCAAACGAAATGTTGTTTTTGGAATACCTACAACACTTAAAAATCATATGAAACTAACAGTTGAAAATAGAGTTATATTACTTTTGGATTATCACAAGAGCCACATGAATATGTCATTAACTTCTGTAAGAAGAATGGCATTCTACCGATAACGTTTACTATAATACCGCCTGTAGCGAGTGGATGATTATGCACCCTTGACAACCTATTACGATTTACGATATAGCTGAACTTGCAGGTAAGGCATTTCCAAAATCATTTACTACATCTAATATCCAGAAAGGATTTGAGGTGAGCAGTCTCTATTCCGTCAATGAAAATATTTTTAAAGATAATGAGTTGCTGTCTTCGTATGTAACTGATTGTCCTTTCAACCAGCTTACTGAAAGTCGCGAGCAAGTCAATGTTGAACAGGACGGGGAACAAACTAAAACTACAGTTAATGAAATGAAAGTCTCTACTCCTTCTACCTCAAATATTCGTCACGCAGGAACTTCAGGAAGTTCTATTACACCTGAAATATTGCGACCCTATCCAAAGGCATCTGTTCGCAGAAAGAAGTTAGGAAGTGCAAGAGGAAAGTCACGAATACTTACCGACACTCCAGAGAAAGATGAAATAGCTGCGCTCAAAAAGGGAAAGACTCAAGAGAAGGTATCATTTGAGAAAGTGGAGGCAGTTACAAAGCAAATAGTGACAGAAGATAGACAAAATGTACCAAAGAGAGTTGCTAAGTATGATAGTGAATCAAGTTCAAGTGATGGAGGTACACTTGAGGACTTAGTAAATAGAGAAGAATTATTAAATGACCAAAAAATATATGACTTATCTGAATATGGCGAGATTACCAAAAGGTACTCTGTTTTAGTGAAAGTGGCAGGGATGAAATCTTTTGTTTATTTTGTTGCCGAAATACTGAACAGTGGAATTAATAACGAACGTAGATATTTACGTAGAATTCTAGATTCCAATAGGTTTATAAACGACTCAACCCAGACCTATGATTTTTTGCGCAATGATATTGTACGAAATCTTCCACATCCGCACAAAATAAGCGGAACGATGTGCACCTGCAGTTTAATGTTAAATTTAGCGGATATAATGTAAAATTAGTGTTTATTTACCAAATTAACCATTAGTTAATCATAATGTTCTGAATATTTTGAGATTTTCAATAAAAAAATTACAAGATTTGTTCTATCTTATTTTTTTATAACTGACCCAAGGTACAATATATGGTGGTCCAAGGTACATTACCAGTTTGTACCTTGGGTCAACATGCAAGGGCGTGCTAAAATATATTTTTCAACTAACTATAAGCTTAAAATGTGTCAAAAAGAAAAAAGCATGTAGCCAAATAGCCAAAGTAACTAATGCATTGGATAAACTTTCTTCTTCTTCTTCAAGTTCCACTCCTATCGGAGATTGGAAATCATTCTGGCAATTATAATTTTATTGGTTACTCGCCTGAATAGTTCAATTGAACTGCATCCAAACCACTCACGGAGATTGCGTAGCCACGAGATTTTACGTCTTCCTACGCTTCTTCTACCTTTGATTTTACCCTGCATTATATTCCTTAGTAGTTCGTACTTTTCACCTCTCATGATGTGTCCCAAGTATTCCAATTTCCTGATCTTTATGGAATTTAAAACTTCGCATTGTTTTCCTAGTTGTTCGAGAACTTGTTCGTTTGTTTTGCGATCCATCCATGATATTTTCAAAATGCGTCGGTAACACCACATTTCTAATGCTTCCAGGTTTTTAATGTTGGATTTTTTAAGTGTCCAAGCTTCAACTCCATACAAAAGGGTAGAGAAAATATAACATCGAAGCATTCTTATCCGAAGCGATATATTGATATCGCGATTACAAAAAAGTTTTCTCATTCTATTAAAAGTTGACCGCGCAATTTCAATGCGGCATCTTATTTCTTTTGTCTGATCAGTATCTTCTGTGATCCATGCCATCCATGATATTTTCAAAATGCGTCGGTAACACCACATTTCTAATGCTTCCAGGTTTTTAATGTTGGATTTTTTAAGTGTCCAAGCTTCAACTCCATACAAAAGGGTAGAGAAAATATAACATCGAAGCATTCTTATTCGAAGCGATATATTGATATCGCGATTACAAAAAAGTTTTCTCATTCTATTAAAAGTTGACCGCGCAATTTCAATGCGGCATCTTATTTCTTTTGTCTGATCAGTATCTTCTGTGATCCATGCTCCAAGGTATTTGTACGAAGATATACTTATTGGATAGATAGAAGGATAAACTTTGCAAATATTTAATTCTAGGATTTAGAAAAAATAACTAAAAATTGACCCCTAACTTCCAATTCCAATATCGAAATATTCAGAAGCGTGTTGAGGTCCAAGCGCTCTACCTAATAGATTCTAAAGTGCAGTGAAGTGAACGTTAATACCCCCCGACAAATCAATCATTTTAGCTCATAAAATTGCTTAGAGTAAAAGGAACATTTATGTAGGTATCTTCGTCTAATTTAGATAACGACTTACGTCATTATCTACGTCAGAGATCGAAGTTGACATAGTTGCCAAAGTATAAAAAAATTCGGACTCCATTTTAAATCAAATAGGTCACATAATTATTACAAAAGTATTACCATCTCTTTACAACGGCTATTTAAATTCTTACGTGACATCTTTGAAATAAAACACACTAATTTTGTTCTAAAAAGAACAGATTTTATTAAATAGGTAAAAATATAAAACAAGAGGTATTCACTTTAAAATTCAAAATAATAAAGTACAAAAAGTGTCAACACCGCAACTGTCAAATAAGTATTACCAATTTATGCCAAAATTTTACCTTCGTTCGATTACAGTTGCAGTGTGTTCCGAACAAATGTTCTTGATAAAAACTCTTTATAATGGATTTATACAAATTAAATGAAACATATTATTGTGTATTTCTTTAAGTTAACATTAATAGAAATTTTTAAATATTATTTCTACGCGTATATAATAAAATATGCCTAGTGGCTGTAATGCCAGTGTACTCGGTAAAGTGATTCTAAAAAGAACACACCTAAACCCTAAATATTTCGTGTTGGTATCATATGACGTCACAGGCTATGACGCCGATGACGTGCATCGTTATATAAATTAGATGAAGTGTACTTAGTTTGCTACATGTTTATTTCATTTTACTTGTCAAACAATTTACTCCTGGTTTTATTGCTTATACAGATTGTAAAAGCAAATAAAGCAGTATAATTACCAACAATTATATGTGAAAAATGAAAAATACAAATGGAAATTAATGGTTAAATATTAATATTTTAATAAATGTCAAATTTACCAAAAAAATAGTTACTTACAGAAACGTGATCTTCGACAAAAGGTTAGACTCTTCTATGGGATGAACTTGTCTGACTTTATTTTCTTTAAATTGACTCATTGTACCCGCAGATCATCCTCAATTTAACAACTTGTTTGCACTAATAAACCAAAGACGACTTTGTCATAATTAGTTATTATCTTTATAGAATTTGTCGGTTCAGCCATTTTATCTGGATTGTTTACTTCTTTTCATTTTAGTGCAACAAAAATGGTCTGTACAGGAAGTTATTATCATCTTAAACAATTGCTAATCATGGGGATTCACTACAATTTTGCACAAAGACTAAATGACACACTAGTGAAAAAATAAAAAACAAACGCATCTGATTTATTTTCTCCTTGCACTTGTATCATTGCGATGTTCTAAGATATGTATAAATAAATAATCACAGTACAATAGATTGCGTCAATACGGTAATCTTGGCACTATTAACACTATCATTGTGTAACATATTTAAGTAAAGTATGTTGAACTTTGATTGAAATATTTCATATCTTTTCTTGTCCAAAAACTTATAGATAATTGTATATATTTAATATAAATATTTAAGTGTTTGAGTGTATACAGTGTGGTCCATGTTTATGGAATATTTTTTATTTATGAAATTATTTAATTTATTATTCCCTATTAAGAAAAATCCTTAACCAAATTACGTTTTATTTTTAAAGTATCTCTTTTTCATCTAAAGCATCGAGTTAAAATCTATGGAGAAGCTATGATCATATTAATGTGTGTATTAAAAACGGCGTCAGAAGGTATGGTTAACGATCATACAAATATAGCGGTGGAATCAGGGCTGGACTAGAAAATAATATTATTCTATTCATCATACACACCATCTTAACCCATGACAGTTTCTTTCTGTTTCTCATCCTTCTGCCAGTTCTTTTATGACTCTTCTTCTGACTTCTTCATATATTCTCTCCGCATGTTTCTTACTTCTTGTGGTCTCCTTACTTGTCTTCTTACTTTTTTTCAATATTATTCTTCATTATCAACTTCAATCATTAACTTTAAACTTAAACTCCATCACTACAATCAAACTCCATCATTTATCACCATACATCCATTTGACACTTTCAGTCTGTGGACCCCACTACCACTTATAATACACATTTCACTTAACCAACTAAGATATGCAATCAATATAATCCTCTCACACTTAACATATAGTCTCTATTATTTCATTTTTTCTCTAATACATATTTACACACATATCAAACATTTTACATTTCCTCTTCCCTATATTAATATTTTTATTCATTCATTCTCAGCTTCATTTGTATTCATTCTTCATAAATACATATACCTCACAATAGGGTAATACCATATTAACACTATTAAAAACAACAATATAATAATAGTTAGAATATTATATTCTATTATCATATCTCATAAAACTTTTAGTAGACTATTCATCTTACTAATTACATTTTTAACTCCCAGAGATTTACACAACAGGTTTCTTACCGTTGCTAGGCAACCACCATTACTCAATCAAAAATAATTTTTACTTCCATTTCATTGGATTTCAACTTAACCCTTTCAGTACGGCCGACGGATTTATCCGTCAGTTAAAGAATGTACCTACCGGCCGGCTGACGTATATATCCGACATTGTTTAATCGTGTCCATTGGCCTACTGCCTTATCGATGCGACCACGGTTGCCAACAGTAGAATCTTGGTTTCTACTAGGTTGACATGTAAAATCTACTAAAATTCTACTAGATTGATTATAAAATCTACTAAAAATTCTACTAAATTATTTTGGGGTAAAATGACATATTGGCCATCAAGAAAGAAGATTGAGGTTATGTCAAAACATAATGACATGAGGTTATGATGACATAATGTCTGTCATAGATAAGAGGGTTAGTAAAGTTTATTGTCTATGTAAAAGAGGAAAATAACACAAATTAATTTTATTTAACTAAAATATATAGTTGTAAAATTTTATGGTAATTTAAACAAAACATAAGTGAAACTGGCAAAAGTATAGAGAAAGTGCCCATGAATTTGGCATAAACATCATGTCAAATTTGTGTTTGCGGTATTGCCATGTCGTTATTATGTATATGTTTTATGCCTCAAATATGCTTTGAAACAGTTCATTTTTATTATATTATTTTATAAAATCGGGTATTTTTAAAAAAATTTTGAAATTCATATGAAACACAAACGAATGAAGATTTGTTTCTTTTGTTATTAGTTGCAGTTAGTTATTAGAAAAAAAATTAAAATTGGCCTTTGGTAGATTAGTAAATAAACTTGGCAATACTGTCAAAAGTAGTTGCCAAATTGCAACAGATGTTTAGCAGATTTCAATTTTATGAATATATTCTTATAATTTTGTGATGAAATGGTATCTGAATAAAAGCTTAAAAAATTAAAGTTACTTTAAATTATAATAAATTAAATTTAAATTAATTAAACTTCTTTTAAAAACTTAAAAAGAATGTTTAGTAACATTAATAAATATTATATCGCATGCTCTTTCGTGATTTATTTGTGATATAGCAACACCGCAAACACAAATTTGACATGACGTTTATGCTAACTTCATCGGCACTTTCTCTATACTTCTGCCGTAAAACTTATATCAAAAAAATAATTTAAAAAAAATTAAAAACCTATTCTGTATCAAAAAATATATCCTGTGGGGAAAGTGGTGAAAACAAAAGACCCAAAGTTTTATTTAACTATAAATATTGTAGAGTTCTAAAAATATAAAAAAATAGCTAATACAAATTTACATTTTTTACAAACTTAATTTTTCTCTTTAACTATTTTTAGCGTCGTCTTATACAATTTACTATTTTTAATGGGAATAAGTCACCATTTTATTTCAAAAAAGTTTATGTTGATGTTTCGGTTTTGTATTTTGAGAAGGATTTCTGAAATGGAAATATAAACATCAAAATAAACTTATTTTAAAGTAAAATTGTGGCTCATTCGCAGTAAAAATGGAAAATAAAATATATTTCAACTTAAAATATTTTCTCTATCTAATTCTAAATCTACAATGGTATGTTTGCACTCTTTTGTAATATTTTTAACCTTTATTGAGACTGAACGGGGAACAATATACATTTTGTACAAAGTTCATTTTTCTTTCATCTTCATTTCTTTTGCTTTTTATCATTAGATGGACACAGAAGAAGTATACTAATATAACCATATTTTCTACCAAAAATCTACTAACATTTATTTAAAATCTACTACCTTTTCTACTATCTACTAGATTTAAAATTTTTCTACTAGACATAATCATATTCTACTAGATCTAGTAGAAAATCTACTAAATTGGCAACCGTGTGCGACACCTTCAGAAACTTTCGTTTCATCACAGACGATCGCCGTAATTTTCGGCGGAATATTTCGGCAATGCCGAAAATATACGACGACCGGCGACAAGGCACGTAGATTGTCTGCATCATGCTTGCATTTTTTTGCTGGTGTTAAGCTGGATTTATAGTTTGACGTACTGTAGACGTAGACGCACTGGAGACGTAAGAAACGGACTGTAAATATTTTTTCAATTTATAAATGGACGTAGTGGAATTTTTGCGCATGAGTAAAGACAAGAATTGGTCACCCACAACATTCAATATAACCTATAAATTATACAATTATAGGAATCAGAATTCATAATAAACAAAAGGGTGTGTGTTTATACTATTGTTTATTATAATATTTTTTTTATCCTTTTTACGTGTTAGAATGGATTGTGAAATATACGAAGGTATGCTCCTTGGCGCTGTAGGATTGCTGTTGTGCTGTGTGCAGTAGCATTGCAAAAAACTAGAAGGACAATAATAAGGCGACCAAGATGTTATAAAACAAGACCAATAAACCGTAATAGAAAAATAGAGAATGCTTATAATTATTTTTTAAAGATGAAGACAGAAGATCCAGAACAATTTTTGGCATATTTCAATATTGGTGCAATGAACATAACCCATTCTTTCTTTTGATTGGTCAGACGTAAGAAACGCACTGTAAAAGTTGAAAGTTGACCAACTCTTCCGTTACAGTGCGTTTCGCTTACGTCCCGTCTTGCGTTTACGTTCATTTATAAATAGGAGTACACAAAAGTCTATGCTGATCTTTTTCCAGTGCGTCTGCGTCTACAGTCCGTCAAACTATAAATCCAGCTTTAGTCTCAGCGTTACCAGACCTAGGGAATTTTCTTATACCTAGGGAATTTTGAGCCAGCTTAGGGACAAAGGGATTTTTATTCCATTCTATGGAAAATCTAGGGAATTCTTAATATTTGTAAGAATATTTTAAAATATCAGTTTTGTTTAATAAACTTTCCAAAATTGCACATATTATATTATCTACTTGGAAATCATACTATTGGTGGAATCACTAAATTCCGTTTATGTGATTTCCCGTCGGAAACTAGAGTGGTGAAATTTCACGAACTGCGAATTACGTCGGGGATCTACCTGGACTAAAGTATGTAATGTACATTGGCGTCGCCCATCGGGCGATATTTGGTTTCTAGTTTGTCTTTCTCTAACTGTTTATGTGATTCTCCGTCGATGACTACAGTGGTGGTATTTCACAAAGGACGAATTACGTCAGGGATCCACCTGGACTAAAATATCTTAATACTTTGATATTCTTACCCTTCTTACCATAAATACAACTATAAAACACTTGTGCGGAAGGGGCAAAAATAATTATACTAAAAACATATGTGTACGACTAGAGAAACATGCTGAACGTCAAGAACCTAGAGAACTTTTCTCAAAAGTCAAGTATCTAGCGAGAGAATTCAAACCGCAAACATAGATCATCAAAGATAATAATGGAAATCATGAATGTGTTGCTTGTGTGAGTCCATATCAATCTTGCAAGAACTTCCCGTTTATTGTCAAAACAACTGCAATAGCACATTAAAGTTCTCCAATCAACAATACATGATTTTTGCAACCATGACCTACCATCCATCAATTAATAGAGTACCGGCATGTAAGTAATGTTTGTTTTGTTTTATTTATCTGCTCATTTATTAATTTATTACAATATATATTACTACTTTATACCAATTGTGGGTCTTAACTTGTCTGTTAATACCTTTTATATATTCAAATTTATTCATTTTGAAAACCACAGACATGTAATATTGGCATAATTACTATAATTTGTATGAACTAACTTATTTGTTTATTTTATCTTTATTAGACACCACCCTAATTGGGTTTATTTTATTGCAGCATTAGTTTAACTTTGTATCTAGACCTGAAGATGCTTTGCAAATTGTAGAAAACGAAACCGGTCGTCTGATTGTTAAATTAAATTGATTGTGAGTAAGTCTTATTATTATTTCTTTACCTATATAATAATGGAACTATAAAAAACCCAGACGGCCTCGCAGAGGTATGGAAACAATATTGCGAAATACTATTTTCTAACAACGACCGAGC